ACACACTGTTACTGGCAAAGCTGTCCATTCACTTTGCCAAGAAATGTTGCTGTGTCTCAAAAATGTTATCAACACCATAATAAGGAAAGTAAGGCTGTTTAGATCTTAATCTTCCATTTGAGTGAAGAAGATGTCATACAGACAGACAATGTGATCCTATCAGTGGTCAATACTAAGCAGCATAAAGGAAATTGGGTTAAACATTTTTGTTTCTTCTTTTTCTGTCCCTCACAAGGACACACAGATGTATGAAATACAATCCCCCTACCCACCCCGCCCCAAAAAACAAAAAAACGAAAGCAAAAACAGAACAACACACAATCTACAGTACATATGCAATGTAACACACATATACAGATACACATAGAGGCGTTTGAAGTCATTCTCTGGAGAGCAGTGACACCGGGGCTGTAGCATTCAGCTGCTCTGCCTATAAATAAATGTATTCTGCGCACAGGGTGTGTGATCTGGCTCTCCAGCCAAGAGAGGCAGCCTGGATAATTATCACCATGGCATTTCACAGCCTTGTTCCATTAGCTGTTATTTTTGGGCCATACCGTTTGAAGTTTCTCTTTGTTTTATCTGCCTCTCACTAAACACCGCGGGGCTACTGGGACAGGCAAGGCAGCTGAGCAGCTTAACTGTAGGCCTTTCAAGAGATGCTGACTGTCTCAGTAGCTGACTACACTGCCTCCCTCGTTAGCTGGCTTACTCTGGTACCCATTGAGAGGATAGATGATTTCTTTTTTTTTTCTGCTGAGGACCTCTTGTCTTCCCCTGTTTTACTTTCACCTTGTTTGTGTTGCTTCACTCTGAGGTGTGTCAGAGAGATCCTTGATTACAGCAATCACAGCAATCAATGTCTTTTGTTCAATGTAGAATTCCCTGAGTAACCTCTCACATTAATTAGCTCTCATCGTTCTGTCAAGACACACATATACAGATAAACACTCAAAATTTGCTCATGCAAATACACACACATACACACACACATGCACACACAGAGGAAACAAGGCTGCTACAGAAAGTAAGCTTGTCTCAGAGCGTTAGCCTTTGCTCTTTTTGTTCTCCTGTCCTCCCTGATGATGACGGTGGTGGTGAGGTTTTTTTTTTTTTGCAGCTTGGCAGCAACGACCAGCCTAATTGGTGGCAGAGTTTTAATAAAGGTAATTTGATTGTTTTCTCTGTGTTTCTATCGCTCCCGTTGCCCACGTGAAGAGGCTGTGTTGTCATGGAGATAGCTGCCTGCCCCAGTGGAATTATGATTTTGTGAGTGTTTTTGTGGATGGTCTAGTGAGATGACCCTGTTGCTGGTATGGCTGACATGGAAACAACAACTGTTAACATGTTGTCTAAAAAACTGCTGTTTATAAACTGGACAACAGGGCGAGGTCTACCAAGGGCGAGTTTGAGGATGAGATAGCATATGATGCAGGGTGAGTCACTGCCAGAGCTACTGTCATATTTAGCAAAAAAATCTTTATGTTTAACCAGTTAGATTTAAGGGTGATCTTACCCAAAATACAAGGAAAATAAGTATGTGTCTGTGTTGACTATCAACTATCCTATCAAACCAGGATATTGCAATTTGAAGAGGTCTGGAGAAGTCTGCTGTAGTTATGTCTGTCATCATCCCATTACCTATGAGTAGGATTTGGTTTGTAGGACTAAATTGCCTACATCTGAGACCTTTTTGTGAGCAGTTTCACCTGGAATTATGTTAAACTAAAGTCTCTATAAACAGACAGGTGAGTGCCAGTACTTATAGTCTAGAAGTGCACACTTGTACTGGAGATGTAAATACAGAGCTCACAAAGCACCCTTAAATAATAGCTCAGCAAAGAACCACCCAGTATAGTGTTTCAACCTACATCTTCTTTTGTTACAGCAAACATGTACATGTCTTGTCCATACAATTTACAAAAGTAAATTGACTTGGATAGATTGAAAAATGTGTTTTCTTTTGTGTTTTGGATAAACTGACCCTTAACAGAGTGTGTATTTAAAGACCTAAAGTGTGTCCACACGTGTACACACATTCCCTAGAACTTGAGTCTTTCACTGATGCTCTATCTGCCTGTTTTCGCTCAGTCCATGTGGAAATGCAGCACTGTACTCAGCTGCACTCGGACAACTTTAACACCTACACACCCACCCACACAAACATGTCTTGGCACACATATTGACTGCTCTGTACCAAGTGAGCATATGCACGCTGAAACGCCCACGTAGAGCTCTTATGAACCTTCCCATCTAATGTTTATGCATCAGCCACAATCAAGACTAGGCAAACTGCTATGTGAGATCATTTAAAAATCTTTCTGCCTTTGCCTCTCTACGTGAGTAGGAGAATATGTAAATAGGAGCTAATTTTTCATTGTAATGTGTGCAAGTAGCAGTTGAGATTGCAGGTGTTTGGCACTTTGTGTGCGTGTGTGTACTGTATGCAGGAGAGGAGTGTTTGTGTGTGTAAACTTACAGGTACACTGGGCTCTGACACTGCAATACTGTCTGGGTACACAGTGGCCTTCACACACTGGTTGAGAGATGCAGCAAAACGGTACGGCTCATCTGCACGCTCACATCGGTTCCTCTGAGAACAGCTGAACAGAGAAAAGAAGGAGGGACAGAGAAACAAAGGGGTTAATTTTCAACAGGAACATAAAAATACAGATAACTATTGCCCTGAGAAAATAAAAATTGATTAGATTGCTACCAAAGTTATAGCTAAACCTAAGTAACACCATAAATGAATATATTATAGCAACACAAGGTGTTGCCAAAGGTATAATGGAAAAAAGATATCAACAATGAAAAGTGGAAAAAAGGTATAATAACAATAAAACAATGAGGACAATAAAGATAGAAATAAATGCTCATATTGCAATAAATTCTGCGCAGTGGGACAATATAAAGTGTGTAAGTAATTGCCAGTTTTGTAACAGAAATCAAAACCCTCTCCAACAACAGAAGGAAGCAGAAAGATGCGCATTAAAAATGTCCCAAACACTAACAGTTAACATCGTCAAATAAATTGTCTGTTATATTAAACAATGTCATAATGATAATAATGATGATGACAATGATTCATCACCTTTGTCTTAAGACATGTGGATGGCTCCCTAACTGTCTTTGGAATTTACACCACATGCATTGGGATTCCTTTCTCCTTCTGTCTCAGTTTTTGTGCTGTCTGTATTAGTCACGTAGATTTATGGGTTTTGATTGTTGATTAAGACTGTAAATGTGACATGCTCTAGAGTCTGGCTAAGTTATGTAGACATATGGCATATTAATAACATTATATGGACATTTTGCTGTTTTGTTGGATTGCCTAAACATCAATTACAAAACAAAGCTCACTCTTGTATAAATGTACATTTCATGACACTCAATGTCACATGTAGTTCTAAAAGTTTTACAACATAGTAGGTGATCATGGCCCCCGGTGGGCTATGCATTCCTGATAAACCACAGAAACAAGTGGTGGCACCAGCAGCGGTACTGCTGCCTCCAGTAGGTAATTTAATACAACTACGAAGCCACAGCACTAAGCACTACACACCCAAATTATAACCTTCAATCACAGCATAACTTTGGACATGTAACTAGTGCAAATTTCACAGCGTTCACTCATAAGAGATCTTAATGGTCAGACAGTGTATCAAGTACCACATGACACCCCCACAATCCGCCACATCCCTCATTAAAACTCAGCCGCCTCCTCCTTCTTATTAAAACTGTGTGCTCCCTGCAGCCTATTACACCAAAGGCTCTCTATCCTCATCCAACCCAGCAGTGTGTCTGGCTAACTGGCTGTCTGGTCACAGCAGCTCTAATTGGACTCCGATGGGTCAGCCACTGTCTATGGTGCTGATGTGCCACTACAAGCCCTGTCCATTCTCCCCTGGCTGCCGACTGTGTGTGCGTGGTGTGATCTGTGGTGTGGCAGTGTGTGTTAGGGCCCATATCATGCTTCTTAACCACATACTCTCACACATACTGACTCTAAGCTACATCTTCATCCACAGCCTCTGTGTGTAATTATGTTGTCAGAAGTTCAAGCCATTTCTAGCAGACTCACATGAACAGGCACAAGCACACCATGGTTCACATACACACGCAGGCAGACACACACACACACATACAAACACTCATATGCACAGTACTCCCTTGGGATTTCATAGAGTAGGAAAGTGCAGAATTAGTGTAGTAGTTTGAATCTCCGACTGGGAAAGCGGGGGCACTGTGGCAGGATTTGAATTTTTTATTTGAAAAGATTACCTGGTTTCTCCTCTTTATGACTTTGGTAACTCTATTTCTACATTTAAAATGTGACATTTTTATCGTTATTCCTGATATGAACTCTCCTCATTTTACAAGTTTGACTCTATTACAGCTGCATTTGCCACATTTTATTCTCTGGATCCACTCTCCGTCCATGTTTCTTCCTTCTGTCACTCTTTCACAAGTTGAAATTAGCACACCTTTCTTAGACAAGGTGTTATTCCATCCGCAATTTGGCACTTTTTTACATCCACAATGGCAGCAGAAAAGGACACTTTATGTGCTTTCAGGTGTGGGCTGCGGCAATGTTTTATGCATGTCTCCAAGCTGTATGGGTACGGATGCAAAAACCTGGGCGGTCATTAACTGACAAAAAGCCCTGCATTGATTTTCCTCAATGTGATTTTTTTTTTAACAAAATTCATTTCGGTGGGGTAAAGTAAGATGAGAGCGTAGCAAGGGGGTGGAGGATGGCTGCTGTTGCCATGGTTTCAGGAGATGGCCATTATCTCTGTGTAGTTAGAAGCTGACCCCTTGCCTCTCTCATTAGCTGAAGTGCATGCCACTGAGTGTTGACTAGAATTCTGCCTTCCTCATATTCCCCCTCGTGACCCCCTCCCCTTATCCTCCTGTCTGGCCCTGGCCTGTCACTCAGTAGCTTCGCCGATGCTTTGTGTTCCATCACTCACATTCCTGAGGGGGGGCCCTCACACGGAGAAATATGGTGTTAAAGAACGTGATACGCACACTGGATTTCTTTGTTACAAAAAAGAAATGCACACACACACATGCATACACATACCCACAAACATGAACACATATGTACATGCCTCCATGTATATCCACTCATTGACAACACCAATGCATGCAGTTCTTTAAGCCTGTCTCGTATAATAAGCAGCTCATAGCTATTTTCCCTCCAGTGGCTGCTGGAGGCAGTCGGCCTGGGTGTTATGCTCTCTAAGCCCTGTCCATGGTGCTGAAGTAGCTGCTCGTACTTCCATCATTACTCCTCTCTGGCATCTACAATTCCGCTGCAGGGTATGAATGCAGTCGTAAGTGGCAGCAGCATTTCATACAGTCATGCAAGGTGAGTGGGGAAACAAAAAGACATAAACATAAAAAGCAAAGGAGAGCAAATTGTTTTCTCCAGTGGCAGTTTGTGTGGGCTGCACTGTTGAAGTTGGAACTCTCAGGTGCAAATCAAGCCTTGACACAACATATGTAATCTAATTCAGTAACCTATATCTAATGTAGAGTGTAATTTGCAGTGTTGTGTGGCTGCATAAGCGGGCGAGCGTGAGGGTAACAGAGGCCAAATTTCAGGGTCCGTTCCATCAGTTCTTGCTTCTTATTCTGTTGCCATAGACAGGCAATTACACTGCCGCCTCTGTTGTGCCAGGCTTTGATAGACACCCAGACATATGAATACACACACCCATTCGCACACACTAAAACACACAGACACATACCATAGGGCACCATAGCCACAGAGAATGAATACACTCCAATGTGCATCCATATGAATGTGAACAAACACATACACATGCATAATAACATATAGTCCATCACACTAAATCCTTCACACATTTATGCACACCTTTACATACACATGCACACATCCTGCCCTTGACAGCAGAGCAGGAGAGGCAGGCGACAGGGAAAGATGTCTTTTCTTCTATCCCTCCTCCCCTTCCCTTACCACATCTAAGGACTTCAGTGAAAGTGTGAAGGCCTGTCTGATTGCAGCTCTAGCTGTGAGTACCATGTTTAAAAACAGGAGGAGAGAACAGAGGGGGAGCCATTTTAAAATCACCTTCCTTCCCTCACTAGAGACAGACCACAAAACGCCACACAGAAAGGAAAATGAGAGGAGAGCAGAGATGCTTTGGTGGCAGGTTGGGGGGTAAAAAGGAATAGGGTGGGAAGATGTAGATACAGAAAGAATCAACTATGTATATATTGAATATTTGAAAAAGAATAAGTGGTAACCGTTATGTTTGAGAATCCCTGGCATGATTTGATTTGGTTGAATGGAACCCTCACTGGGGACTCTGCATTTCTACAGAAACACATGTTAATGTTAACATGTATGAAGACTGACTGCACTGGGACTTTGGTTCCCCAACGTGAAAAGAGGAATCATTAGGTGAGCAGTGATGTGCAGGGCTGGGCTGCGCTGGGCTGCCTACACACACACTACCTCCTCTGTTCAGTGTTTTATCCTCAGACTGAGTGATTCAGGGCATTTGTTTCTTACTGCTGCATCCCTAAAGTGTGAGAATATCCATTTAAATGCAGACCACAGGAGGTAAGAAGGCAAGTGAAGGAGGAATAAAAGAAACACAGGCAAAAAAAAACAGGGTTTTCAATTTCAAACCACCACACAGATGGTAAACTTCAGCAGCTCAAGTTGCAGTGTGGGCTTATGATGACATGTGAGGGCGCACTTTGAGTTCATGTCAGGGGTCAAATCAACCACAGCAACTCATGGTGTGTCTCCTGTGGCGACTGATAATGTCACTGCAGGACAGTGGCAACAGGACACAGTATGGCCACAACACACTTACTTCATCTTCACATAGATTCTGAAGGTATTGTAGTGTAAACTAGAGTCAACAGTGAATCACACTCACAGGCACATGTGCACACACACATATAGAGTTTCAAGCCATAGTGTGTCAGACTCTGTTTAAGATATTGAGTGAGGGTAGGGGAAAGGAGAAAGAGAGAGGAGATAAAGAGAAAAAAAGATTTACAAAGAGACCATTGCTCAGTGCTCTGCATCAAGCTATAGCTTTACTTGAGTGGGCTGAGCAGAGAGAAAAAGGGAACAAAAGGCAGAGAAAGAAGTGCAGGGATGGAAGCGTCTCAAAAATAAAATAAGTGAGCAAGCAAGAGATACATACCCACTGGGTTTTTAGGATCATTAATTGTAATATGTAGCCTGCTCACTCATACTTTACACACTGGTGCAGTATAAGCCATCGTGTAGTCAACCTATACTAGCTCTATGTGCCAGGAATCTATGGAAATATTGATAGACCTGCATGTTCGTGATCGATATCTCATTAGGCACAATTGGGAAGATGGATGCAGCTTCCCTCTGACTGCTAACTGTGGCTGTAGCTGATGAGTCGGCCATTAGACACACAGTCTGACATCCACAATGGGCTGAAGCAGCCATTTTCATTGCTAGGCTAATTGTTGTTGCCATTGGTAAATTAGAGGAGATTTTATGGTCGGATTCATTCGTAACCGCATAAACAGTCTAAAGAAGCAGTTGTAGTTAGAAAAATAGGGCTGTAACGCATGATGTTATTTTTAGTGGCAAAAGGTAAATAGTAGCACAAGTGTATCCTTCTACAAGAAAATAAATTACTATTTTCTGTCTCTTAAATCCTGCGCTCACATTGAAATAAGATCACTCTATTAAATTGGCTGTGTCCAAAAGCCTGACTCCTTCCTGTTGAAAGTCAGTTTGACAGCATTTAAGCTTGTAACACAGATTTGTGAAAAGTGGACAGCTGTGCCATTCAGGCTGCTGTGTGGGTTGTTACTGAAACAGATCTGAGCAGTTCAGCCACATGCAGACTGACAGTACAATACAATACAGTATCACAGTGTAGTAGTGATATGTTATTCTGCTCAGAGCAGCCCTCAAATGCTGACTCACTCTCTGCTGGGGCCTACTACACCAATAGCCCTAAGCTGTCATCCACACAACAAACTAGTGCTGATTTTGACACAGTGAACAGAATTTCCTATGTACATATTACATAACTACAACCTATCATCATTCACTACTTCAGTCGAAATGTAATTCTTCTAATAAATAGTACTTCTTAGAGAAACTCACTCTACTGGTTAACTGCTGACCTTGGCCCTGGATCACTTGTCCAGTCTCAGCCCTTGGACAGAAGTCAGAGTAGCGACTAATCCTGACAAATCTCAACAGAACCTCTCGTCTTCTCCTGGAATTTCGGCGCGAGATGAGAGGATGGAGGGAGAACAGAGTGATGTGGGACATTTTGAGATGGAAAAGCCTCTTTTGGGCATGATTAGAGAGCTAATCTAACAGCGGCAAGAAGCAGGCTAAGGGAGAGAGTGAGCGACAAGAGAAAAAGCGTCACCATAGCTCCATGTTTTTGGATTGTGGTCAGACGAAGGCTGAACTACCCATTCACAGGACGGCGACTGAAGAGCGCTCGAGATGATGAGCTCCCTTTGAGCTGCAATCAAAATGCTGCTCGGTTTTGTGGGCCGATGAGTGTGCAACATCAAACACTCTCTCTCTCTCTCATTCTCTTCCCCTCATTCTTATCCCTTCTCTTTTTTCCCCTCTCATTCTTCATGCATTCAGTGGATGCCTAGCAGCTGCTGGTAATTAAAGGACTTTAGAGTCTCACACCACACTGAATCAGAGGAAGAAGAAAGAGAGTAAAAAGACAGGGAAGACAGAGACGCCACTCCTGGCCAGCTCACCGCCTCACTCTGCCTCCCTCACATTCTCTTCTTCTCCTCATCATCGCAAACCAAGCTAATGTCCCTCTATGTTCCCAATTAGCCACCTTAGAATGCTGCACTTCAGTGAGTATACACGCACAAACATAAAGAAAAAGGGGAGGGGGACACAGTGTTTGGAGGAGAGGAAAAGAGGATGGATATTGTGGATGGCAGCTGTAAAAGGAGGGAGGGGGTGATCAAAGCAAGGGGTGTTTATGTGTGGCAAGCCAACCATCTCTGGAGTGTAGAAGAGCTGATTCCAGAGGGAAGAGTGTCTAAATGGGAGACAGCGCAGTAGTGAGACGCGTTGAGAGGAGATGAACAGCATAGCTGAGATGCTAGCTTTATGGTGGGGGGAGTGAGGGAGGTACACTCAGACATGGGAAACGGGGGAAAGATAATTTTATAAAATCAACAATGGCTTAGGGATGGATGATGAAGAACTGGAGAAACGGAGGGAAAAGGGGGCAGAAGGAAGCAGTAGTGATCACAGCTGTGGATGGCACTACGGCTGGCAAGAAATTTAATTTTGTGTGTGTGGGATGATGGGAGCTCTTCACCAGAAGGGTGCAGCTGCTTTTCTCCAGCAGCATTTGACAGATACTTCCTTCTACTATCTGTACATCCATGCTAACTTAATAAATGTAGCAAAGCCTTCAGCTTTACAGGTATTATCTAACCGTTTCCACCAGCTATGTTGCAAGTACAGTAGTTCAATAGGATTTGACGAGATTACATAATTAACTGAGCACCTGCAACTTATCACATTTCATTGCTGCTTCCCACATAAGATGGCATTTGTATTATTTTTTTATTAATTATTTTGTCTTTCTATCTATCTATGCATACCCTGAGGTGTTTTTTTGCCTTATTTTTTGGAGATTTTCTGGTGGAGAGGCAATGTAACTGTGAGTGGCTGTATGACATTAAGGCTTTCCCTTCAGTCGATAAATCTGTTTCTGCCACTTTATTGCATTTTTTCTTTTCCATATGCCAACTTGTCCACCTCAGCCAATTCTTTATTAGATATTTTGCATTCCCCCTCTGGTAATCATGTACACATTTAAAATGCACATAGAACTCCGTAGAAGTCCACATGAGCAGCATCAAGAAAAGCGAAATATTCTTTATTAAACTTATTTCCCCCTCTGCAGTAACTTAGCTAGAGCTGACAGGGGTCCTGCCAGACTCACTGCAGGGTCAGGACAGAGAAAGGGGTATTAGGACCAGAGACAGGTGGTACGAGGGTCTGCTGTGTTGAGAGAACAGATGGTTGATCTGACGTGAATCGGGGTGCTGACCTTTTCTCCCCACTGTAGAGTACAGCAGTCCCCACGAGTGTTTGTGCATGTACACAAAAATCAAACCCATGTGCATGCACACATGCACACACACATGCATGCAGACGCAAGCCCTTGCACACACATTTACACACCAAACAGCTGTTTCCTCCTCACAGCTGCCTCCACCATAACAGCTCCAAAACCCATTCACCTTTTAGCAACACCACCTCGTTGTGGATTCGAATTCCTACAAACCTGAATTATTCCATTCCCTACCACACCTACACAGAAGCATATGATTAACAGCCTAGCGCAGAGGCTAATGTTGTGGTAAATGATCCCTGTGTGAAGGCACGCAAACTGCAGAGAATACAGAGCTTTAGCCAGCCCCTCCCGCACCTCTGCAGGCACATGCTGAATTACCTTGTCGCTAGGCAATTATTTGTCCTGTCCCAGCTTTGGAGTGATGCAAATTACTTTAAGTGCACTTTGTCAGGGCCGCCATCACGATAATGATGATTGCGGCGGGGCTCTGACACACAAAAATATTCAGCTATACCTTTAGAGAGAGGGGCTGCATTTAGGAGGGGCCGTAAGTGGGGAATTCAAGACAGCAGCTAAGAAGAAGCTCAGACTGATGAGAGTATGTGTGCTTAAAAAACAAAGGGACGGAGAAGACTCTCAGCTTCTTTAGTAGTGTGTTGTATTCATCTTTTGTCCTCAATATACCCTCTCCATCATTTCATCTAACTTAAGTCAGTACAACAATGAATACCTCATAGCCAAAAACAATAAATATACATGTTTTTTCAAGCTCTTTTCTTTTTTCTATTGTTTTTTTCCCACTTGGCTTTAGAAGTTTGTTCTATTGCAGTAATGTTTCAGCTCCAGCAGGTGTCACTCATGACTTCTATGCTTATCTGTAGGGCTGCTGTTGTTACAGTGGAAGGTAGATTTTCCCTAACTTGCTCAAAAAATGCCCAATAAATATAGATTGACTCCATCAGATTCACACCATGTCCATTAAACACTCAGAACAATAGATATATGACAGCTCTATGCAGAAGAACTAGTCAATTAATAAGTCTCTTTGGTCTATTCTGGTCTGTCTTTTCAAATTCCAGCAAGTCATACACAGACTGAATGGACTCATTTCCTGTTAATATCAAGTTATGTCAGAACAGGGCAGCAGTCGCAATGGCTGCGGCAAGTAGCCCTGAACCAGCTCTGCTCCTTTAAGGCACAACTGCCGTTTCAAGACAGACACTGTCTCCTCTCCTCAAATTCAAACTGATCTGAGATAAACACTAAGAGAAAACCTGCCTGCCTTTGAGAAGGGCAATTGAGGGCCATTTTAGGAGATGCCAGAGCCTGTATGTGAAGTATCTGTAAACTGACTGGATGATGATTGAGGGATACTTACATATTATGCAGGACACACCAGCCGCAGTGTGGGTCTCCAGAGCTCAAACACTCTCCACAGGTCCCGTACTGCTCACAGGACTCAATGGGAACTTGGGTAACCTGAAAGCACATGAAAGGATCAGGGTCACAATGCAGCATGACACACATTACAAGATGCACAAAAAGAATCCTCTGGGTCTGTGTGTGTGTCTGTGTGTGTGTAATAAAGGAATGCTCATTCAGTCACACACCAATAGATAATGGTATTTACTTTTCCACATATATTAAACAACAAAAAACCCAAAACACTTAATTCATTGGTAATATTTAATATAATAATTCTATGTTACAATATGTTACACATGGTTCCTCTGAGTGTACGTATTACAATGTTACTGTTTAATGTTGACCTGATGTATTGCAAAATGTGCCTCAAATGTTTGGGTGCACTGTGCCCCCTGTATGTCAGTGTGTGAGATGTCAACTGCACAGGCAACTGTTGCCTTTATCTTAAGCCAAAGAAACAGTAGTGAGCAGGTGGGATCAGTTGGCCAGAGAAAGCTGTTTCTCTGCCATCAATGGGGTCTTGTCTGTATCAGGGCATCTGTCCACCTAGGTTGAGCTTGTACAAACACACCTACACATGGAGGAACAGCGACAGATGCCTTTCTCAAGAACATGTGCAAAGTCCAACTTGATTACAAAATGTGAAATCGCCATGAAGAAGTAACAATGACAAGGAAAACTTTATTAGAAAAGTATAACTGCAGTAGAAAAAGTAAAAAAGTGTAGATCAACTTTACAAACTTTTACAAATTAAACACTGCAGCATAATTGCAAAACTGAAAAAAAAAAAATATTACGGGTGTGCTGTATGTTTTAACATATGAATAAATGGAGTAAAACTGGTATTTCAAAGCCCAACTTGAAAAATGTTAACAGCTAAAAATTTGTATAAGCACTTTCAGTGCAAAGCAAACACACTCCACACCCACAAATCCACACAGGGCTGCTGGACTGCAGTCATTTGAATAAAAAACAAATATCCTTACACAGCTTAAACAAATACAGGGTTGAGAATTTACATGAACACAACACACAAAAGAACACAAGAATAAAACATGCATCACCTCAACTAGACTAGCTAGCTTACTATTTCGTGTATAACAGCTGAGTTGTTGTGTGATCCACAGACTGGGCCTGTTTTAAGTTACATTACATGCACTCATCCTTCTGTTATATATGAGTGTGTGTGTGTGTGTGTGTGTGTGTGTGTGTGAAAATCTAGCTGTGTCTGTGTGTCTGGCAGGCAAGTTTCAGCTCAACAACATGGCCCTCGGTCTGTTTGTACAGCACAACGGTCTTTCAAATCCGGAGGTACGTATGTGTGTATAGTCTTTAAGTGTCCCGTGGGGCTGTCCTGCTCACACCTGCATCTCACTGTGTCAGCAGGAGTAAACATACACACCCTGCCACATAATGCAACACAAGAAGAGCGAGGGAAAATTATTTTTCAGAGTCTGACACAGATTAATTTTCAGTCCTGTCTGTCTTTCAATTTCCTGGCAATTGCCTCGTTGGATAATGACAGCAAACTCTGACAGTGTGTGCTCTGTTCAGCTCCAAACCTCAGGCTCAGATCAATGCCTAATAAGTGGCTCTTCTGCAAAATGTGGGGGAGTGAATGAAAGGTGCAAATAACACCATTTAAGTGTTTTTCGAACCCTGTGCAAATCGCCCACAACTGGGTGATATTAATTGCTGTTAGCACCATGAGCTGGAATTAACTGTCAGCTAGGAAGAGATAACAGCTGGGTGTCCATCAAAGGCTTTTCTTTATTACAATGAATCAAATTAAAAAAAAACAGCTGACAGCAAAATTTGTAACATGTGCCAGCAATTGCAGGGCCTAAGAAAAGTTGTAGTCGGCAGAACTGTCAGCTGCTGTTAAAACTCTGAGCTATATGTGTTCAAGGCGATTTTTTTCCCTTTTGTTTTGTCTTTGCTCCCCAAAAGCTCAATAACCCTCCACCTGTCTGCCTGGTCCTAAACCCTGCGGCAACAGAAAGACGGGCCCAGGGGACAAAGAAAACCATTGACACGGTGGGACGCTGACAGTCGCTGTGCTGTGTGGCAGCTCCGCCATGGACACTCCTGTTAGATTAACCCCCTGTCACCTCAACAAACTCTATTTGTATGTGTGTGTGTGTGTCTCGCCTAGCTTCGGGACAAACAGGTGGCATGCTGTAATGAGCTGCAGACGGGGTCACATCAGCAGCAGAAGCCGCAACTGATGACAAACAAGCCCACCAGGAGTGAGACTTGGCTGGGGAAACAGTCAACTCAGTCTGTGTATGTAGCTCAAAGTCTCTGAATCCCTCTTCACCCAAAAAAGCCTTCAGATCCTTCCCAAAACATGTGCGCGGCTGGTGAAACTTTATAGTATAACTTTCACAGAGGCCCAGATCCATGAAAGGGTTACAGTGTGGAGACAGCTGTCAGCAGGGGGAAAGTCAGAGAGAAGTGGGGGGAGCTGGGGCTGTCCCTTATGGAGCGGTGTCTAAAGACAGACAGACACAGCACGCTGTCAGCTGATTCAGACTGAAACACAGGAAAAGGTAGGGGGTAATATGGAAGAAGGACAGCGAGGTAAACAGGCGAGCGAAAACCTGAGAACTGAAAAAGCACAGAATAATGGAGAACGTGTGTTTACCTCTGTGTTGTATATATCCTATGTGTCCTTGTGTGTGTGTGAGTATATTGATGTTTAGATCAGCATGGGCCAGTAGTGGAGGTGAGGGGGGGGCGGCGGGGTGAGGGAGGGTTGCGGGGGATCACAGCAGCTGTTGCCCAGCACACGCTACAGTCACTCAACACAGCAGGGCTGCACAATGAAGCCCCTTCTCCCACTGTGTGTGCATGTGTGTGTGTGTTTGTACGCACACATGCACAGCGCCATAACGGATGTGCAGATTGTTGTTCCTGTGTTTTCAAGAAAGACAAAGAAGCGCTGCATGTGATCTGATATTGCCTCCAACTTTCTCTGCTCTCTGTCTCTGTTTCCCAAGAACACATTCATACTCATAGCTGACCCGAGCTAGACCGAACGTTGTCAGAGAGAAGTACTGCGCTCTGGTAAATGAATGCTAATAAAATTCCCGCATAAGATGACCTTAGCGGGGGGTTATTCAACCAGAGGGGCTATAGTGGAGTCGCATACTGGAGCAACATGGGTGACTGACTGACAGCCGCGGGTTAAAACAACAGCTTCCTCTCTTTCAAAGGATCATGCTGAATAGGCTTCAGCCTTCATTATTACTGCCAAGCCTTCACTAATGCAGGACTGTAGCCTCTGTTACTGAAACCTATAGCTATGGATTTGGGCTCTAGAATTAATTCCCAATCATAACGTATCACTGGGCAATATTTTCATGCCAACATGCAAAGTTTTTATCAACCTAAATCACAAAATGAGCAGTGCTCTGAAAATAGCATTTTTTTTTATTGTAACCGAACATGATTTTTGTGTAATGAAGTCTTCTAAATTCAAACTGGCACCTCTTGCTGCCGTTCTGGGCCACCAACATCAGAACTTTCATTGTGTATCTGTTATAAATAATGGATATAGCTTATTTTTGTTGCAGTTGTGTCTCGAGAACAACAACTTCAACAACAACAAAAACCAGAAAGGTGACAGTATCGTCACAGAGAGCTAGAGGTGCGGGCATTGTACAATAAACATGCTGCTGCCTTTCTCACATATAAAGAAAAAAGGCCAGAGGATAAAATTCCCACTGTACATATTTTCGATATTTATTTCTGGCCACCTGTGAATGGTAACTCCATTACAGCTCCTCTGCCTTGCTGCCTTGAGACCCAGCCATGCTCACTGCACCTCTGTGATGGATGGGGGCACAAGGGCAGGACAGGAAAAGAAAGACGGAAAAAAAGGTATATAAAGGAGGACAGAGTTGAGTAGAAACGGCCCACTGCTTTGTGTTCTGAGACTTAGTCTCTGCGGTGCCAGATGTGCCTCGCCATGCTGAGCGAGAAAGAAAGCAACAGAAAGAGAAAAATCCCACCGTCACCAGTAATGCAGAGGAAGCGTTTTTGCAAGCTGTTGCCAAGGCAACAGGCCTGGCTCTGACCTCAGGAACACCCCCACATTCACCACCACTCTCCCCAACCTTCGAAACCTTCAGCAAACAGCTGGCACCTCTGGGACTTCCTGCCACCTACACCTCCTTTTAAACATGTATAGACACAAACACACACACATACACGTGCACACGCACTGATGGCTCCCCTACACCCTATCCATTTTTAATGAGAGTTAGCCAGGCTACCACGTCACTGGAATGAGGCACATCGATCATGAACACAATACCCATTCCAGCAGAGAGAGAGAGAGAGGGAAAGCATGGAAGGAGTAGATGTGTGTGTGTGTGTGTGTGTGTGTGTGTGCGCATGTGTTCCTGTGTGTGTGTGTGTGTGTATATTTGAGCGGGTCTAATGACAAAGACACAAAAGAAGAGCAAATACTTGCTGCTGAATGAATGAAAACCAATGAAATCTACATGCCCCTGAGTCTCTTAGTCCCACAGTGGCCGTGCAGCCTGTGTTTCCTGTGTCCAGCCTAACTGCACATGGATGGCTGAGCCATTTCCCTGACCGGCCATTCTTTAATCTGCTCTAGTAATCCCACTGAGGCTCTTCCTAAGGACAGCGGCCACATCTCCCTTGTCTTTTTCTCGCGCTCGCCCCTCTTTCTGGTCCTTTTTTCCTAAACTCACAAAATCCCTCTACTGTACTGTCTCTTAAACCCAAACAAATCCACTCTTCAGTGTTGTGGCGGAGCCATCTCATCAAGCTTGTTGACATCAACCCACAAGGAATGGCATTCTCTCATAGTAACAAAAACACTGAAAGAAAAAACAACTCTGCATTGAAAGCAAGGGGCAATCTTATCCCTCTATTAAAACTGAAAATGAGAATACATTTATCAAGGTGTTTTTTGCAGTGTGAAACTGAGGTCAGTCAGTGGTTCAACCCAATCATCAATATCCAATCCTAAGCCTGGCAGGCCCTGAGAAGAGAGGTGAGGGGTTCTGTTGAAGTGC